AGTATATCCCTCCTCTATCTGTCTCTCTGTCTCTCTGTCTGTCTCTGTCTGTCTGTCTCTCTCTCTCTTTCTCTCTCTCTCTCTCACACACACACACACACAAACACACACACAGGCAAAGGCTCTGTGTCTGACTCCCAACACCCAAGGGCTCTCTATGTATGTCTTGGCTTTTCCCTTCCCATTCCTGAAGCTTGGCTGTCCCTCCACCCCCAATATCCCGCATGCTAACAGGTGTTTTGTGTCTCCTACATATAACACTTGGAGGCTCCCAAGGAGCACTTCCATCACTCCTCCATCTGCCTGCTGTGATCGGCCAAGCCTGCATGCAGAAAGCCTGAGATAGCAGCAACAAGGGATGCAGGCTCTAAGTGGTCATTCCAATCAAAGCAGCAGACAGCACGTTATGGAGATGAACACACACTAGAGAAAGATCCTGACAGAATAAATAAGAGGATACGGGTAAGAACGAGCTCTGGGTTCCCAGCATCTGGAGCAGCTTTTAGAGCCTGGAGGAGAAAAGGGAAAATACCATCAGGAGAGAGAAACAGCTGAAGAGGAAGATCAATACTCAAGCAGACTGTTCCAGGGCCTGGGGCTGGAGCTAAAAGACAGACCACTGTGCCGGCCCAACTCCCTAGAGAATAGACGCTAAGCTGTAAGATTATATCAGGTTTATTTTTAATAAACTCTTGTACCTAGAAAGAAGAACACCTGTTGACCAGTTTTAATTTATAGTTAACTTTTGACTCCCCTTAACCCAAAGTCATGAGTACCAGTATCCTCTGCTTGTTATGTCCCTGGTTTTTGCATAGTCTCCTCATTCATAAACACTAAGCTATGAGGAATCACCAGGAATTGCATAGGGGGTGTGAGTGGAGAGGAAGAAAGCGCAGGCAGAAGACTTTCTGTAGACTTTTCCTAAGACCCAGCAGATGGTGCTGTAAGAACATTGCCTTACGGACGAGGGCAGAGCAAGTGCACTGGGACGGGAAGAGAACTCCACCCGCTGATCTTCACCAGTTTTATCTGTTTGTTGGCTGATTGTTGTGGGTTGTTTTCTTTTCTTTTCTTTTCTTTTCTTTCTTTTTTTTAGGTCGAACACTCCATTCCTCAGGAGCTGCCCCCCGATCCCTGCCTTTTGTAAGACACAAATAGTCCTCTACTCCCTGACTATTCCTAGGAAGAAGCAGATTTGAGTTTGACTCCTGTCTTCTCCACTTAATAGCTTAGTGTCTTAAAACAAGTTACATATTTTCTCTGAGCGTCAGTTTTATCATCTGCAAAACAGAGGTAATAATACCTACGTCATGTGGTTGTTGTGAGGACTAATAAAATGATGAATGTAAGCGTGCAAAGCACTGTGCTTGGCATAAAGGGGACCACAATTTTCTTTCTTCTGCCAAAAGGAGGTACTAAAAAACCTAGAACGTGACACATACCATAAGAAATGTCTTCTCCTGAACTCTGTCATCTCCAAGGGGAAAACCATGAACCAAACTTGTGAGGAGGAACCTTCATGCCCACCCTTTTACTGTGGAGCACAGGCTCCAGTAAAATAATGACTCTCAGGGCATGTGGGTGGCTCAGTCAGTTAAGCATCTGACTTGAATTCAGGTCATGATCTCACACTTTGTGGGTTCGAGCCCCACATTGGGCTCTGTGCTGACAGCTAGCTCAGAGCCTGGGGCCTGCTACGGATTCTGTATCTCCCTCTCTCTCTGACCCTCCCCTGCTCACGCTGCCTCTCTCTCTCTCTCAGAAATTAAAAAAAAAAAAAAACTTTTTAAAATGTTTTTAATAGTGACTCTCTGTGTGGGAAAGGATTTTTGTGATAATCTAGTCCAACTCTTACATAAGTAATGCTCAAAAGGGAGCAAAGAGGCCAAAATGCACATTCAATATGCCTCTTGTTTTCACTCACATTAACCAGGAAATAAAGCTCAACAAAACTCTGGTTGATGATGTTAGAGTATATTCAGAAAATATAGCCCTGAAAGGATTAAAACTGCTTATATAATACATGAAAATTCCATTAATGCCCCTAGCAATGAATTTAATTACATTACAAAGAGTTCATTGCATTTTTAGTCAATGTAGATGTTAAAATTTTTGCCTTACATCAACTCAAAACATACCTCCCTTTTATTAGCACCCAAAGGTCCCCTGTTCTGGTCCCTTTCCCTACCACCACACACGCTGACATTCACAGACAGCTATGCACACTTTTCTCCCTCAATGGAACTCACGGTTCTGATGTCCCACCCCTCCCAGCCCTTCTCTTTTCTCTGAGACTCTCCTCTCCTGGGGAATCTTCCTGACGAGCAAATATAGAAGAGGGTCAGGAATGCCATATCCAGCATGTCACCAACTTTTTGTATGGGCCACAAGCTAAGAATGCTTTCTACATTTTTAAGTGGCTGTGACCTGTGAAATTATGAAATTTAAATCATCGACAGGTCAGCGTCGATAAATAAGTTCTACTGAAACACAGGCATGCTCATTCGTTTACATATCATCTGTGGGTGCTTTCATGCTACCAGAGCATAGCTGGATAGCTGCAAAAGACTGTCCGGCCCTCACAGCCTAAACTATATACTATCTGACCCTTTACAGGAGAAGTTTGCCAACCCCTTGTGTAGGAGAACACTGCCACCGAGAGCATGATTCACCTGGACAGTCTCTACCAGCAACTCCTTGGCCCTCTGTGGCAACAGCTGGCTCCTGCAGGAAATTAATCTTCATTCAACAAACCCGACCTCCTCTGCACCCCCCACAGTCTTAGTCACACCTGCAGAAAGCTCACTGCTCTGATGGAGCCATGACCACGTGGCCCAAATCAGGCATCCAGAGGAAAAGCAGCCACAGAATGGGTCCTGACTCTGCAGCCCTCTGGGTAGCTCTTAGAAGAAAACAGAGAGCATCATAATGGTTGCATTTGGAATATGTAACTTATCATTCACCAATAGTTGCTACCACTCCTCCCAAATCCTGATGATTGTATTGCACAAGTTTTAAGTCTATGTGACTTGACCCAACCTCAGTGGCATTCGTGCTATATGCTTAGTTCAGAATGGATGAAATGCAGAGCAAGTTCGCAGGGATAAGCAGAAGCCACATGTTGATTCCCAATGCTAGGACTCAGCTTATATTTAGGTGAAATCGTGTCCTCTGAGGTAAAGATGGCAAGAGGGAGGGCAGCCCCCAATCCTGTGAAGAAGTGGAAGTTGATTGATGCAGAGCACTATAGTCATGACCCTCAATGCTCTTTCAATTCAATTCAACATTTATTTGTTAGGGACTTTGATGGGCCAAGGTATGTGCTAAGTCTCCAGGTGGCACAGGTGATATTAATGCCCATCTCCTAGTCTCTCAAGGAGCTCATAGTCTAGAAGTGATATAAATACACAGACACATACATAAGGGTGTGTGTCCATATGTGTACGCATGCAAACATGAGAAAGAATGTACACCAAACAATTAACAGTAGCTATTTCTGGGATCCCTTGCTAAGGAGCATGGATTTCTTCCTAAGGTTAACAGTAGTTCAAATGAAAGCTACACTGATGCATGACCACTAAGGTCTGGTAAACGGAGTTACGTAAAGAGACAAGAAGGCCTCTGCAGTCATTACTGATTCAAAAGAAATGGTAATAATATCATGGGTAACAATATCCTGGATGAGGCTCTGGCTGGAAATCCATATAAGAAAATTTAGCTCAAAATGAGAGTCTGACTGGATGATCCTTAAGGCTCCTTTTAAACATCAGATTCCATGATTGTTGGACATTCAGTCCGTGATGTCCCTGCACACATTCCATTCACTTCAATTAAAGTCCACATAATTGGTTATCAATGCATTATGCTAGATACTTTGTTGAATACACAAAGAGGCTTTTCTGCAGTGTCCAGAGACTCTGGTGGGTGGGGCTGATACTAGCTCAGATTTGGGAACTGCTAGTGCAATCTCAGGTGAACATGTAAGGAAGTAAGAAGGCAATCGCCTGGAAGGTGGAGATGGAGGTGGAGGTGGAGGTGGAGCTGGGCTTATTTGTGAGTGAATCAGGACATCTCAGGACAGCTCCTCCCTAAGACAGACCATTATCCCCTCTATAAAAAGGCCACTATTCCCAAATAGCAGCACCCTGTAAGCTGCTCCAGTCTCCATCCTACTTGTTCCTCTGGTGAACTAGGTAAGTGAACAGGAGTCCTTAGGGCCATAAATTATGAAAATCTAGTATGTGCTCTAAGGCAAAGAGGCACTGGACACCAGCTTTCTTTTTAATGTACGTTAGGGACTTTGATATAATTTTAACTTTATTGAGAAGGAAATGAAGAGATGTCTTTGGGGTCATTTCCTTAAAGATCATGGGGCTCTAATCATCCACTAGACAGGTTGCTCCTGGACTACTGAGATTTTTCTCTCTGCTATGTGATCAGCAAAGCCTGAGGGTCTGTCGCTGTTTGGAGAATGAAAACAAAAGTGGGCCTGATAGCAGCTGCCCCCAGCTCTGTATCATGTAGGTCTGTGGTCGCCCACTTTGTCTACTTCCTCTACCTACAAGTATTGACGGTTGGAGTCAGGCATGCCATGTGGATGAAGGACCTGTCCCTCCATAGTAATGGATGGCACCTAGAGAGGAATTGAGGAAGTAGGTGAATTGGCACACCCATGATTTCTATGGCTCCAGAGCAATGTTCATAAAATTATCCTTGGTAGAAGCAGGGAGCTCAAAACAGAAAGTCATTACTCCCACAATCAGTCAGGAATGAAAATAAGAGATATAGATTATGTTCCTCATTTCATCACTCTCTTGCTACATGGCTTAAACAAGTCTGTCAACTTGGATTGGTTCTTGATTTCAACAGGATAAAATTAATCATGCCCAATTAATTCTGAACAAATACTACAAATAGCTGGAACTATTTATGTATTTAAGCAAGTAAAAAGAGTAATAAAAGGTGGGTCTCTCTTCTTTTTTTTTTCCCCTTTAGAAAAGATGCCTAAACTCCTACAAGGCATTGTCACTGTCATTGATCTTTTCTACCAATATGCCACCCAGGATGGGGAGTGTGACATGTTGAATAAGGCAGAACTGAAAGAACTTCTGGAAAATGAGTTTCGACAAATTATGAAGGTAAGAACCCAGCTCAGGATTGAAAACAGCTACAATTCTCTTCTTCACCCCTTCCTAACTTTTTGTCACATCTGTCAGACTCCTACAGGACTCTCTACTTGGTGATAGATATTAGAGTTCAATAAAGGCTTGAAATACAATCGAAAGTTGACCCACAATTGTTTCCATAACATGACCAAGGGAAGTGATCCTACTGAACAGACAAAATCCATAGATTATATAATATCCTATATATGTGAATAATTCTTATGGACCTAAAAACTAAGATAGTTTTCAGAAAAGGTAGGTGAAATGCATCTTCTTCCCTTTATTTGTCTTTCTTCAGCCCAGAACACCCTGACTGACCACTGCCCAGTTTCAAGACTCTGACACTATAAGGCCCTGAGTTCAGGAAGTTAGCTTCTTACTCCTAAATCCTAAAACATGGTGACCACCATCCTAAAATGTCAGCCCTGAAAATAAATATTTGGGAGCTTAGATCTAGCTCTTAATCATCAATTCATTATATCCAACCACCTACTAAATATTTATTTGGATTCCTGTGGGTGTCTTAAATTCAGTGTGTCACATATGAAACTCATCATTTTCCCTCTAAACTTTCTCCTCTTATTTGCCCAAGGCAGAAATCTGGTTCCATCATGGCTTCTGCTCTCAGCAAGCACCTCCACCCTCCATGTAATTCATCAACAGTCTCTCAAAATAGTTCATTTTTCTCCATCACTATTGCTAGTCCTTTGGCTCAGGCCACCTTCTACTTCCAATCTCAGACAAGTGCAAATCTAATCATTTCACAGCACAATTCAAAATCTTTCAGCTTTTAAAATAAAGTCCAAAGTTGCTTCACATAACTTAAAAGGCATGATCTGATCCCTATTTGTTTCTCTTGCAATATCTCTTGACTATTGAGACTCAAAATTTAATCTGGAATTTCTTCCTCATATTAGCCATGTGTCTTCTAATCTCCAGCTCTGTTCATATCATTCTCTCTGCCTGAAAAGCTCTTGTCCCCTCTCCTTTCTTTCCTACCCCTTCATTTGGCTAAATCCAACGAATACTTCAAAAGACATCTCTTCCTCTCATTAACCTTCCCCAAACCCTCACTGGTTCCCCTCTGGTGTACTCTCAGAAACATTATTATAATACACTGTAGTTTTAAGTTTGTGTGTCTGAGCCACTAAACTTTAATTTCCATTTTGGCAGACAACAAACATTTTCACTGCTTCATCCCCTGCACCTAACTCAATGCTAAGCAGACAGTAGGTGCAAAATAAATCTTTGTTTTGAATGAGTTCATGAATTAATATCTGGGCAAATAAAGAAAATACATATATAATTATGCTAATCATTCATATTTGACCTATTGCTCACAAAATATAATTGACTTCCTTGTTCACTAACATCTTCCAGTTGCACCCTCTTCTAGCAAATTCTCACTTCATTGTTTATTACATATTCCTTTCTTTCTTTCTGCCCAGGATAGAGCATTCCAGCCTACAGGACTAGGCTGAGCTCCTCCTAAGTAAGCCAAGTATTCACATTTCTACAGTCTTCTTTCAAATGGTTGGCTGGGTGTGTATTATCCACAGTGACACAGCTGTCCCTTGTACCTTGTTCCTATACAGAATCCAGATGATCCAGACACTGTAGATATCATCATGCAAAATCTGGATCAAGACCATGACAAGAAAGTGAATTTTACTGAGTATCTTCTGATGATATTCAAACTGGCTCAGGCTTGTAATAAAATCATTGGCAAAGATTACTGCCAAGCTTCAGGGTCAAAGCAGAGAGATCACAGTCACCAGCACCAAGAGGAACAGAATGAAACAGAAGAGGAGGACAGAAGGCAAGGTCATTCAGTGTCAAGTACAGAAGAGAATAATTCCTATTCCAGGGGTTCCAGGAGAAGCATTAAACACAGGCCTGGGTCCAGCTCCAGAAGAATGAGTCATCAAGGAGGCTTATCCAGTTCAGAGCACAGGCAAAGCCCTGGGGAAAGACGAGAGTCAAGTTCAGGCCACTTCAAGGATAGTAAGAAAAACAATCATGGCTCTCTTCAGCAAGAGAGATCTGAGAGTCATTCTTCTGGTCGGAGGCAACATAGATCCAATTCAACTGGTCAATCAGGACTTAGTAGACAACAAAAACATGGTTCTGAATCAAGAGAGTCTTCAAGCTATGAGGGATATGGGTCTGAATCAGGCCAGTCCATAAGCAATGGCAAAACTCACTCAAGCTCTTATGAGTCCTCTACTCAGAGAAAACATAGCAGCAGCTCTAGTCATCAATCAGAAGGGTATGGAAGACAAAAGCATGGGTCTGGCTCAGGACAGTCTTCTAACCATAGTAACCAAGAATGTGGATCTGGACAGTCTTCTAGCTATGGACAATATGGTTCTGGCTCCAGTCATTCTTCTAGGCAAAAATACCATGAATCCAACTCAGGTGGTTATTCAGGGAGTTGTGGAAGACAAAATCAAGGGTCTTGGTCAGGCCAATCCTCTAATTATGGAAAATACGAATCTAGTTCTAATCAACCTTCTAATCATAAATACCATGAGTCTAGCTCAAGATCCAGTTTAGGTGAGTCATCAAGCTGTGGACAACATGGACCTGGATCAGGTCAATCATCTGGCTTTGGGCAACATGGGTCTGGCTTAGGTCAATCCTCTAGTTATGGACAAAATAGTTCTACTTCAGAACAGTCATCAAGCTGTGGACACTACGGATATGGCTCAGGTGAGTCTTCTAGCCATAGGAGACAAAGGTCTGGTTCAGGAGAGTCTTCTAGCTATGAACGACACAGGTCTCGCCCAAGTCGGTCTTCTAGCCACAGCCAACATAGGTCTGGGTCAAGAGAGTCTTCTAGCTATGGACGACATAGGTCTGGCTCAAGTCGATCTTCTAACCACAGCCAACATGGATCTGGAACAAGTCAATCTTCTGGATTCGGGCAACATGGGTCAGGATTAAGTCAGTCTTCTAGCCACAGCCAACACAAATCTGGATCAGGCCAGTCACCTAGCTATGGCCAACACAGATCTGGCTCAAGTCAGTCCTCTAGATATGGCCATCATGGGTCTGGCTCAGGTCAATCTTCTTGCTTTGGCCATCATGGGTCTGGATCAGGTCAATCTTCTGGCTTTGGGCAACATGAATGTAGCTCAGGAGAGTCTTCTGGCACTGTGCATGGATCTGGCTTAGGTCAATCATCAAGCTCTGGAGAGCATGAATCTGGATATGGTCAGTCCTCTAACTATGGACAACATGCTTCCTCTTCTGGACAGTCATCAAGCTGTGGGCAACACGCATCTGGATCAGGTCAGTCTTCTGGCTTGGGGCACCACGGGTCAGGATCTTGTCAGTCTTCTAGTTATAGTCAGCATAGGTCTGGATCAGGACAGTCTTCTGGCTATGGTCAGTATGGTTCTGGCTCAAGTCAATCTTCTGGCTATGGACAATATGGTTCTGCTTCAAGACAGTCATCAAGCTGTGTGGCTTGGGGCACCACGGGTCAGGATCTTGTCAGTCTTCTAGTTATAGTCAGCATAGGTCTGGATCAGGACAGTCTTCTGGCTATGGTCAGTATGGTTCTGGCTCAAGTCAATCTTCTGGCTATGGACAATATGGTTCTGCTTCTAGACAGTCATCAAGCTGTGGGCAACATGCATCTGGATCAGGACAGTCTTCTAGCCATGGCCAACACAGATCTGGCTCAAGTCAGTCCTCTAGATATGGCCATCATGAGTCTGGATCAGGTCAATCTTCTAGCCTGGGGCACCATAGGTCTGGATCTGGTCAGTCTTCTAGCTATGGTCAGCATGGGTCTGGATCTCGTCAGTCTTCCAGCTATGGTCAGTATGGGTCTGGATCAGGTCAGTCTTCTAGCTACAGCCAACATGGGTTTGGATCAAGCCAGTCTTCTGGCTCTGGGAGACACAGGTCTGGATCAGGTCAGTCTTCTAGCTTTGGTCATCATGAGTCTGGATCAGGACAGTCTTCTGGCTATGGCCAACACAGATCTGGCTCAAGTCAGACCTCTAGATATGGCCATCATGGGTCTGGATTGGGTCAATCTTCTGGTTTGGGGCATTATGGGTCTAGCTCAAGTCAGTCTTTTGGATTTGGGCAACATGAATATAGCTCAGGAGAGTCTTCTGGCACTGAGCATGGATCTGGCTTAGGTCAGTCATCAAGCTCTGGACAGCATGAATCTGGATATGGTCAGTCCTCTAGCTATGGACAACATGCTTCTGCTTCTAGACAGTCATCAAGCTGTGGGCAACACGCATCTGGATCAGGTCAGTCTTCTGGCTTTGGGCAACATGGGTATGAATCAGGTCAATCTTCTGGCTCTCATCAACACAGGTCTGGATCAGCACAGTTTTCTGGCCATGGTCAACATGGTTCTGGCTCAAGTCAGTCTTCTAGCTATGGACAATATGGTTCTACTTCTGGACAATCATCAAGCTGTGGGCAACATGCATCTGGATCACGACAGTCTTCTGGCTATGGTCAGTATGGTTCTGGCTCAAGTCAGTCCTCTAGATATGGCCATCATGGTTCTGGATCAGGTCAGTCTTCTAGCCTGGGGCACCATAGGTCTGGATTTGGTCAGTCTTCTAGCTATGGTCAGCATGGGTCTGGATCAGGTCAATCTTCTAGCTATGGCCAACATGGGTTTGGATCAAGCCAGTCTTCTGGCTCTGGGCAACACATGTCTGGATCAGGTCAATCTTCTAGCTTTGGTCATCATGAGTCTGGATCAGGACAGTCTTCTGGCTATGGTCAGTATGGTTCTGGCTCAGGTCAATTCTCTAGCTATGGACAACATGGTTCTACTTCAGGACAGTCATCAAGCTGTGGGCAACATGCATCTGGATCAGGACAGTCTTCTAGCCATGGCCAACACAGATCTGGATCAAGTCAGTCCTCTAGATATGGCCATCATGGGTCTGAATCAGGTCAATCTTCTGGCCTGGGGCATCATAGGTCTGGATCTGGTCAGTCTTCTAGCTATGGTCAGCATGAGTCTGGATCAGGTCAATCTTCTGGCTTTGGGCAACATGAATGTAGCTCAGGAGAGTCTTCTGGCACTGTGCATGGATCTGGCTTAGGTCAGTCATCAAGCTCTGGACAGCATGAATCTGGATATGGTCAGTCCTCTAGCTATGGACAACATGCTTCCTCTTCTGGACAGTCATCAAGCTGTGGGCAACATGGATCTGGATCAGGACAGTCTTCTAGCCATGGCCAACAAAGATCTGGCTCAGGTCAGTCCTCTAGATGTGGTTACCATGAGTCTGCATCAGGGCAATCATCTGGCTTTGGGCAATATGGGTCTGGATCTAGTCAATCTTCTAGCTATGGTCAGCATGGGTCTGGAATATGTCAGTCTTCTGGCTCTGGACATTGGTCTGGATCAGGTCAATCTTCTAGCTGTAGCCGACATGGATCTAGCTCAGGTCAGTGCTCTAGTTCTGAACAATATGGGTCTGGCCCATGTCACTCATCTAGCTCTGAGCAGTGTGGTTCTAGATCTGGTCAGTGTTCTAGCTCTGAGCAATATAGGTATGGCTCATGTCACTCATCTACCTCTGGACAATGTGGTTCTGGATCTGGTCAGTGTTCTAGCTATGAACAGCAAGGGAGATGTAGGTCAAGTTCAAGTGGAGCTCATAATGAGTACAACAGACCCCAAATGGGCTCAATCCCAACTCAATCAAGAAGAAATAGCCAGGAGTGGTCAGGGTGTGGCCAAAAAGAAAGAAGTAGGAGTTATAGCCTATCAGGTAGTGGGCCTGGTGGATATGAGAGTATTCATGGACAATCAAGAACATGTACCCAACAAAGCCAAGGATGGAGCCAAGGTCCATGGGCATCTGGCTGTATCCAATCAAATTGTAATGAAGGGCAATCAAGGAGCAGCTGTAGACAAGTAGAAAGCTCCTCGAATTGTAGCTCTGGACAATTTATACCCTCTTTTGGACAGTCTAGATCCAATACTACCAATACATTGTTAATTTGCAAGGAAGATAACAGACAAGGTGACTATTGTTATAAGAGAGGAGGAGATAATTGTGCAGGAGGAAGTACTGGCCCAAGTTCCCACAATTTCCATAGCAGCACGCCACTCTATGAATATATCCAAGAGCAGCGTGCCAATTCTAAGGATGAATAATAAACAGAAGTGAAATTAATTCAAGTAACCATTTAAGAAATACAAAACTGTTACAGATAAGCAATTCATTATAAAACTTCATTTAAAAGTGGGTTTCTCTGTTTCTTCTTCTAAACATGTAACTGTACTCTATTCCTTGTTACTAAGGTTCCCTCAAAGAATGTAGGGTATGTGAACAGTCTATTAGGAAATACTGAGTTGAACAAATTATGTGTGGGACTAACTTTGAAAGAATAATACAAAGTATATGAGGAGCATGGGGCTTAGTTGAGATATCATTTTGGGAGCTCATTACTCATTTCAAGATGCCAAAGCCAAACTTTCACCCCTAAAGAACAACATATTAGAAATGCATTACCAGTTCTGGAACCAAAGCCTCTCTTACAGCAACATGGATCATAATTTGTGGTGCTCCCCACATTGGATGATGACAGAATGGAGAAGATCCTAAAAGCTAAAGCACAGCATTGATAGTTTCTTTACCCATCAAAACCACCAAGATCCTATTCTTGGGTAAATCTTTAATCAATAAGCTAACAAATGGCATTAAAAAGTGGTACCAAGAGCTTCTCCCTCACTGGTAAATGAAAGCATTCTTTCTTAAAGAGCAGTCATGGATATCTTCAGGATTAAAGGATCCAAATATGGACTCTAATAACTTGGTTTCAGCAATAAAGCTCTTGCCCCCTACTCCTAAGAATTTGCTCCAGGTTAAAAAAAAAAGAAGAGCAATAGCATGGAAATACAATGTCTCCAACCTACTTTTGTAGTTCATTGGTCTTCTGCATAAGAAAGTATGATTTATGCCTAGATGGAAAGGAAGACTCTCTGCCACTGCTATATAGCTCCTTGATTTGACTATATTTGTTTCAAGTATTTGTATTCAAATAACTGGATTTCATTAAAATTGACAACAAAGTACGGTGATCATATAGTGAAGTTTGTGTCATTTCTGCTTTGTTTCACTTCTCATCCACAGATGGTCAAACTAGAAACTAACTCAAATACCTATTTTCCAAGGTCCTGTCCTTCACAAACAACCCAGAATATATAAAGAACTTCAAAATTTGTTAATAAGACAAAACAACTCAATTTAAGAATGAGCAAAAGACCTGAATGGACATTTCACCAAAAAAGATGTACAAATGGCCAATAAGCACATAAAAAGATACTCAATGTTATTAGTCATCAAGGAAATGCATCTTATAACATAATGGGGGCACCTGGGTTGCTCAGCTGGTTAAGCATCTAACTCTTGATTTCAGCTCAGGTGATGATTCACGGTTCATTAGACTGAGCCCCAAGTCAGGCTCCCTGACAGCACAGAGCCTGCTTGGGATCCTCTCTTTCCTTCTCTCTCTGCCTCTCCCCTGCTCATGTTCTCTTTCTCAAAATGAATGAATGAATGAATAGTGAGATGCTACTGAACACCTATTAGAATGGCCAAAATTAAAAATACTGCCAACACCAAATATAGATATAACAAGTAGAAAAATAAAATGACACAGTCACTTTGGAAAATAGTGTGGCAATTTCTTACAAGGTTAAATATACCTGACTATATCACCCAACAATTCTGATCTTAGGTGGAATGAAAATATATGTCCACATGAAGATTTTTACATGAATGCTCATAGCTTTACTAGCAAGAGCCCAAAATTTGAAATAACCCAAATATTCACCAAGTCTTTAACAAGAAACATAGGAGGAGTTAAGATGGAGAAGTAAGGGGACCTTGGGTCTTTCTCATATCTCAAACACAGCTGTATTGAGGTCCGACCACTTGGAACACACAGAAAATAGATCTGCGGAGCAGCAGAAGGATCTCCACAGCTGGAGAGAGACAGCCTGGCAGATGCAAGGTGCACAGATATGAATCGGGAGAGAGAAAATGCTGGAGCTATGGAAGGGAGGGAACACTTTCTGTGGAGTGACAAAAGGGAGAGAAAAAGAGAGGGGTGGAGAGAAAAAGAGAGGGGTTGAGAAAGTGCAGCATTGAGTTAGCACAAGAGGAAAACTCTGGACCACGGAGTGGGGAGTGGGAAATACTGAGTGTCCCAGTTCCTTTTTGTAAACAGCTTCTGGAGCTCAATCCCTGAGGCTTTGGAAGTGTGCTTCTCTGGAGCGGAGCCATGGCGTGCACTCCTGGGGAGGAGGGAGCTGGCCAGAGTGCATAGTGTGGTGTAATGATCTCCAGGATGCACAGGGAGAGAACAGTCCTCTTCCTGGAGTACTTTTGGAAGACAGTTTATTGCCTTCCCAAGGACAAAAGAACCTGTAGGTGCCAGCCAAAGGCCTTTCATCAGCAGGGCAGAGAGGCTCTACTCCAGAGGAGGGGAGTAGATCCATGCTATGCCTGTCCTTTAGGACATTGGGTTTTGAATCCCAGCTGCGCACCAAGTGCTGGGTCATTAAGATTTTAGGTTTTGAATCCCACACATGCATCAAAGAAAAAATGCAAGAGAGTTTTGGCACAGGGTGAGGTGACTTCTCCCACTAATCCTTGAGGGAGTCTGAACAGCAGGGGTTGAACAGCCTGAACATCCCCAGCTGATGACTAGACATCAGGGTGGAGACATTTCCCTCCAACGCCAACGCAGTGGGACTTCAGAGAGCAACACAGCAGCCCCAGTGGAAATGGGACCCACTTATACCAAGCCCCGCCCCGCCATGTCTGGCAACTGCTTGTCTATTAGGGCAAGACTGACACTGAGCCAGCACAGCCACCACCCCACAGGCACCAACAGAAAACTCTTTTTTCTTTCTTTTTTTGTTCTGTTTGTTTGCTTGTTTGTTTGTTTTAACCATCTTCTTTTTATCTTTTGGAATCAGGCTTATAGTCTCTGATTTGGTCTTTGTAATTTCCTTCTATTATTTTTTTAAATCATGTTTTTTTATCCTTTCCTTTTTCCTTCTCTTTTCTCCTGCTTTCCCCCACTCTTTTTCCTTGAAATCGGCCTTATAGTTTTTTAATTATCTGTTTGGTTTTTTCTGTTCCTGTACCTAATGGAATCAGACTACCCCTTTCTTTTCCCAGGGTCACTTCAACAAACAATTCAAAGCACACCTGCTTAAAGGTCCAAACACTTCAGCGCCACAAGCAAGGAAGAGCTCTGCAGAGGACTGACCAGTGGGAAAGAGCAGCCAAATTGTAACAACACAGTGCACACAGCATATACCAGAAACACTTCCTGGAATGCTAGTCCTAGACAGTGTATGACCTCTTTCTAACATAGTAGTACTTTCAGGTGCAGGACATATAGCAAGCTTTTAAAACATGCAAAGACAAAAGAAACAAAGCCAATCGACAAGACAGAGGAATTCTCCCCAAAAGACAGGCCAAGAAGAAATCATAGCCAGGGACTTGCTCAAACAGATACATAATATATCTGAACAAGAATTTAGAACAACAATCCTAAGACTACTAGCTGGGTTTGAAAAAAAGCATAGAAGGTACCAGAGAAACCCTAGCTGCAGAGATCAAAGACCTACAATCAAGATGAATTTTTTAAAATGCTATAACTGAAATTGAAAATAAAGGAATGAAGAACCATCTATGATGCTAATGGAGATCAAAGTCAAAAGAAAGCTGGAGTAGCCATACTTATATCAGACAAACTAGATTCTAAAACAAAGTCTGTAATAAGAGACAAAGAAGGGCATTATATCATAATTAAGGCATCTATCCATGAAGATCTAACAATTGTAAATATTTATGCCTCCAACAGGAAAACACCCAAATATATAAATTAATTACAAAGAAAATCATTGATAATAATACCATAATAGTTAAAGACTTTAATACCCTACTTAGAGCATCTAAGCAGAAGATCAATAAGGAAACAATGGCTTTGAATGACACATTGGACCAAATGGACTTAACAGATATATTCAGGAAACTTCATCCTAAAGCAGCAGAATACACATTCTTCTTGAGTGCACATGGAACATTCTCCAGAACAGATCACATACTATGTCACAAATCAGCCCTCAACAGGTATAAGAAGACCAAGATCATACCATGCATATCTTCAGATCACAATGCTATAAAACTTGCAATTAACCACACGAAAAAAATTTGGAAAGCTCTCAAAAACATGGAGGTTAAAGAACATCCTACTAAAGAATGAATGGATCAACCAGGAAATTAAAGAAGAAATTTAAAAAATACATGGAAGGAAATGAAAATGAAAACACGACAGTCCAAACCCTTTGGGATGCAGCAAAGGCGGTCCTAAGACGAAAACACATTGCAATTCAGGCCCAGCTCAAGAAGCAGAAAGGTCCCAAATACACAAACTAACATTCCAACCTCAACGAGCTACAAGAGGAGTGGCAAATAAAGCCCAAAGCATAAGAAAGGAAATTTTAAAGATTAGAGCAGAAATAAATAATAAACAAAAAAAAAATAAACAAACAAAAAAAAAACACAGAACAGACTGTTGAAACTAAAAGCTGGTTTTTTGAAAGAATAAACAAAATAGATAAACTCTGAGCCAAACTTCTCAAAAAGAAAAGAGATAGATAGATAAAGGCATGAATGAAAGAGATCACAACCTACACCCCAGAAATACAATTGTAAGAGAATACTGAAAAATTACATGCCAACACTGGACAATGGACAAAACAGACAGACTCCAGAAGCTTACATACTACCAATGAAACAGGAAGAAATAAAAAAATTTGAATAGGCCCCTCACCAGCAAAGAAATTGATTCAGGTATCAAATCTCCCAACAAATAAGAGTCCTGGGCCAA